TGTCACAAATGAATAACTTTTATTTTAGAGTCACGGTATGTTTATACAAGATAATACTATTAATATGATGTGACTTTTCCAAATAAATCATTACACATAGTTATTTTATACAGGGTTTCCACAGTCTGACATCATTTCAGAATTCCCTGACTTTTAACTGACTCAGGATTAGTTTTCCCTGACAAAATAAATGCAGCAACAAGTAAATAATAATAACATAATAGGTCACCAATTTAACATGTTTAGCTCTACAACATTTAAATACACATCTCCAATGTCTAAGAGAAAAAAAACAAATGAATATTTTAATGTATAACCTGCATCACTGTACAGAAGACTGCCATATGATAGCGCTTTCTAGCTTGTTTGTTGTTTTGGTAACTACATCAAAAATACCGCTAGGTGGACAGAAATCACGCCATCTGGCCGTAAATCACCCGGCTTTTTCAAATCACGCGAGAATGTGTACAAAACAACAAAAATGGTGCCAGCAACGCTTCTGGGTGGTTTTCATTGAATGTCGGTGATTTTAAAGTAATTTTGAGAGATACTTTTTTTTTTGCAATCATTGCCCTTGCTCGGCGGGCAAATGCAATGAAATTTGTACTACTTGCCCCGGGAGATCGGGCGATGATTAACATCGAGCCCTGCATACCATCATCTAGTTAAATAATATGTAACTATAGCTGATCTTTTGGCTATTTAATGAATAACCTTGAGTGGTTTAAGCCCTTAAATGAAGCTACTGCAGACAGAGCAGATTAAACTCAACCATCAAAGTCCCCAAAACAAGCCTGAATCTGTTAAACTCATCATTCTGGTCATAAGTTTATCTTTTCAGTCCCTTCATGAGATCATTTCTTTTGATTTTCCGTAAAAGTGTCCTCATGACTTTGACAGCATCTTCCTCAGAGCCGCACTGCTGCATGATGAGATCCACCACATTGAGTCTGGAAGCCGCCTCTAGTTCCTTTTGTTTGAAGCGTTTTTGAGGCAGTTCAGCCAGAAACCATTTAAAGCTTTCAAATTGCTCTTTCCTGAGTTCCTCCAGGATTTCCAGCATGTTTTCCTTCTGATTGGTAATCTGTTGGATCAAACAACAACCTAAAGTTACACAGGAACTATCTGAGGAACATTCAACACAAATGTCTTTTAGGCTTTAATCGTGTAGAATAGGCATGGATAAAGCCTTATCTTCTGTTCTGCCCGTCTGTGACAATCATTGTGTTTAATGACTAGCTCCATCATTCATGAAAACACAATCTTCTGTTAAAGAAAAACGAATCGTTAACTAAGAACAACACCAACCTCACCTCTGGCTGGACTCCGCTACCTGATGCAGCTTGATTACTTTGGGAATAATCTGTACAGAAAAAAGCAGGTTAGAAACATTGGTCTAGTAATTTAAACACATTACAATAGATTTCCAAAAAAGTAAAAAAAAAAAAAAAAATCAATCCACTGAACTTTTTCCAAGTTCCTCTTCCCATCCAGGAAGCTTTTTCAATTCAAAATGTCAGACATTCTTTTTAGGTACAGAATGTTAACATTTTGGACAAAGAAGACAGGTGGTTTGAGAAGGGCATGAAGGAAGCCATCTATGTTAATGTAACCCACATGGTTACTAGACCCATGTATGTTATTTGAGAACAAAACGGTAGTTATGACCTCCACTACATGGGGCCGCATTCGATTAAGTTCCTGCCACTGAGCATGTGTACTCACACTGATGGACCAAGCCACACTCACTTTTGGTACACGAGCTGAGAGCAACACACCTGTTGAGCTAATAAACCGGATAAAGATTTTATGAGCCTTGAGGAAGAGAGAGAGGTGCTACTTAAACCACATTTAAGCCCTCTTAACTCTGATTGGTTTTATTTTTCTGCTGGATCAGGAGTCGATCTGCATGAATGCTAAACCTTCTGTGGTTCAGTGGTGAGCCAAGCGACATGAAGCGGAAAACTGGACCCACTCCACTAGGACTACAGAAATCTACCAACTTCTCTGATACAGATAAGTGCGCTCAATAGAAACAATAATAAAAAAAAACTACCCAGGTAGTGGAAGAATATATAAACAGACAGACACACACACCAAATGGATCCAAGCTTTTCCTTCTGATATAGAAGAAAAGGACATTTTTATTTGAACTTTCCTTCAATTTTTAGTTATCAAAGAGCTCTATTTTGTTGGGTTTTTCCCCCCATAATTCTTTGTATAAAAATAAGTTGTAATACCTGTTGGGTGCAATAAATAATCATTGTTCAACTTCCACTCAGAGTCCAACTTTCTGAACCTAGAGAATGTGGTTTCTTTCTTACATTTAGGTTAAGAGTGCTACATTAAACTTGGCGAGCCAGCCAGGAGACCAGACCAGTCTAAATTTATTATTGACTTTGGTGACTCTCCCCTTTCAAAAGAGTGGAGAGATAGAGTAACATGCAATTTGAATGAGTAACGTGATGTTTTTGCCTGTGGTGAGAAGGATTTTGGGCATGCAACCAAAGTAAAGCACCATATAAATCTAAAAGACGACTCCCCATTTAAATGAAGGCCCCGACCAATTCACCCAAACGACTATGAGGCTGTCAGAAAATATTTGCAAACACTGCTAGATGCAGGGGTGATTCGCGAGTCAGAGTCCCCTTACGCTTCCCCAATAGTGGTAGGTGGTAGTCCGTAAAAAGAATGGGGAGGTACGTCTCTGCATTGACTACCGCAAACTCAATTCACTGACAATAAAGGATGCATATGCATTGCCAAATCTTGAGGAAGTTTTTTCAATTCTTGCTGGCTCCAAATGGTTCTCAGTAATGGACTTAAAATCAGGATATTACCAGATTGAGATGGAAGAACGTGATAAGCACAAGACCACTTTTGTGTATCCCTTGGGGTTCTATGAATTCAACCGCATGCCCCAAGGCATCACAAATGCCCCCAGTACCTTCCAACGACTGATGGAACGAGTCATGGGGAGCTTCAATCTGAACAAAGTACTGGTGTTTTTCCGATGACATCATCGTGTATTCTGACACGTTAGAAGAGCAAGAAATTAGGCTTAAACACGTCCTCCAAAAACTGAGAGAAAATGGCTTGAAACTCTCTTCCAAAAAATGCCAATTCTTCCAGAGCTCTGTACGGTATTTAGGCCACATTGTTTCTAGCAGAGGAGTAGAGACTGACCCGCATAAGGTCAGTGCTCTCCGCACCTGGCCTAGGCCCCAAACACTTGGTGATCTCAAGTCTTTCTTAGGCTTTGTGGGGTACTACCGGCGCTTTGTAAGAGACTATTCTAAAATAGTCAAACCCCTGAATGATCTTACCAGCAGCTACCCACCTTACCGAAAGGGCCAAAAGACATCTAGCCCTGGAGCGTACTTTAACCCCAAAGAGCCCTTTATTCAGATCTGGACTCCTGAATGTCAAAAAGCATTCGACCTGATCATTAAAAAACTCACATCCGCACCTGTCCTTGGTTTTGCTGACCTAAAACTACGATATGTGCTCCATACTGATGCCAGCATTTCAGGTCTAGTGGCTGCCATGTACCAAGAGCAGGATGGTGAAATGTGAGTCATTGCTTATGCAAGCAGAGGCCTTTCCTCCAGGGAAAAATGTTATCCCGCACATAAGCTAGAATTCCTAGCTCTTACGTGGTTGATTGTTGAAAAGTTTCATGATTACCTTATGGTAATACATTCACTGTCATAACAGATTACAATCCTTTGACCTATATACTGAAGTCAGCCAAAATAGATGCTGCCAGTTATCGCTGGCTAGCAGCTCTTTCAACCTTCAACTTTGACATAAAATACCGTGCTGGGAAGAGCAACCAGGATGCCGATGGTCTTTCTAGACGGCTGCATGACAATATAACTGATGATCATGCATCCCTTGAAGAGAAGGAGCGAATCAAAAAGTTTGCTTCTCACCATCTTTCTTTATCTCCAGATCAACAAAGCTTGCCTGTAGATGCAGTCGCTGTCTTATGTCAACACCGTCTTTTACCTCAGTTAGTTGATGACTTACCTTCCATCACATTGGTTTTATCCCTTGCCATCCCTCCAGATGGGATTCCAGACACTTAGGTAAATGATAAATTGCAAGGTTGCTCTACCATACCCAGCAACATCAAAGGGCTGACCCAATCATCTGACAGGTTCTCTAAGTCTTGGAAGGAGGAGATGAGGCCAACCTCGCTCCTGACTCCTTAGAACTCAAGCTGATGCTCAAGGGAAGGAAAAGGTTGGAGATGAGAAATGGTCTTTTGTATAGAAAACATCAAACAGGAGATGATGTCACTTACCAATTCGTTGCTCCCAAGTCACTTCATGCTTCAATTCTCAAGTCCTTACATGAGGATATGGGACATATGGGTTTCGATAGAACCCTTGACTTGGTTAGAACAAGATTCTACTGGCCTACATTGGCTGAGGATGTGGAAAAAAGATCAAGTCATGTAGGCGTTGTGTCCGAAGGAAGACAAAGCCAGAAAGGTCAGCACCCCTTGTGAATATCCACACAAGTTGCCCCATGGAGTTGGTGTGCATTGACTACTTGTCACTAGAACCGGACAGCCACAATACCAAGGACATCTTGGTCATTACAGATCATTTTACCAAGTATGCGGTTGCTATACCGACAAAAGACCAGAAGGCTACAACAGTCGCCAATACCCTTTTGGAGCAGTTCTTCATGCACTACGGGTTCCCTGAGCGTTTGCTGAGTGATCAGGGCTGGGATTTTAAATCCCAACTCATCAAAGAACTCTGTGCTATAACAGGCATCACAAAAGTGCGTACCACGCCCTATCACCCACGAGGAAACCCTGTAGAGAGGTTCAATCGAACCCTGTTAGGCATGTTGGGAACCTTAAAAGACAAGGAGAAAAGCCACTGGCGAGATTATGTAAAACCACTCACCCATGCCCATAACTGCACCAGGAACAATGTCACGGGTTTCAGGCCCTATGAATTGATGTTTGGGCGTCAACCTCGGTTACCAATAGACATTGCCTTCTGCTTACCTGTGAAAGATGGCTCTCACAAATCCCATTCTCTGTATGTGAAACATCTGAAAGCACACCTTGAGGAGAGTTATCAGATTGCCACCAGGAACTCAAAAAAGGTTGTTGATTGGAACAAAGGCTACTTTGACAAGGGAGTATGAGTCAACGCTAGAGAAAGGGGATCAAGTGTTAGTGAAAAACCTGAGGTTCCGAAGTAAACACAAGCTTGCAGACAAGTGGGAGTCCGGTATGTGCAAGGTTCTTGAAAACGTTGGAGACTTACCAGTCTACAAAGTACAGTCAGTAAAGGGTGATGGTCCCATCCCGACTCTACATAGGGACTTTCTGCTTCCTTGTAGTGACCTACCTGAAGCGGAGGAAACTGAACCAGTCAAACCTCAGGTCCGCAGGCCAAGAACTAGGCAGAATCATCCACCAATCCTGGAGGAACTCTCAGAATCTGAGGATGACTTGGTTATCTATCCAAGCCTGTCCTCAGTTTCTCCTGAAGAACAATTCACACAGGTGTGTGGAATTCCAAGGAGACAGCAACCCAATTCAAACCTAGAGCATGGAGGGTTGCTGGCTATGCCATCAGTTCCCTTGACCTCCCAGCCTCAGGATTATCCTGAAGACAGCCATTCCAATGCTAAAACTGTTGGAACACCTTCTGAGCTGGTAGAAGGAGATGAGCCTGAGGTTATGGTTGAGCAGCCCTCTGCTGGAGGGGACCGTGCACAACTGGATGAGACACAAGAAAATGAGATGGATATGACAAACAAAATGGATATGACAAATGATAAGAATGTGATGAATGCACATGAACTACATGAAATTAATGGAATTGAAGAGAGCCCTGCAGGTCCAGAGACTGCAGAGATTCTACAAGAAGCTGGGCCAAATCACCCTGAAACATCTGATAAAGAAACTGAAAGTGAAACCGCAAGAAACACACCTGATCTCACAAGGAGGCCAGAAAGGTCCCGAAAAGCCCCTGAACGGTTTCACTACATTCAGTTAGGGAAACCTTTAATGTTCTTTGCACGGAGTATTTTAGAGAGTTTAATCAAGCACTGGACACTCTTAATATCTGCAACAACCCCCATGTGAATCAGAGATCAGCTCATGAAGGGACTCATGTTGATTCAAGAGGGGAGGGTGTAACCCACATGGTTACTAGACCCATGTATGTTATTTGAGAACAAAACGGTAGTTATGACCTCCACCACATGGGGCCGCATTCGATTAAGTTCCTGCCACTGAGCATGTGTACTCACACTGATGGACCAAGCCACACTCACTGCTGGTACACGAGCTGAGAGCAACACACCTGTTGAGCTAATAAACCGGAT